CCGTGGTTGTTTAATATATTATAGATGGGGTTGTAAGAAAAGTAAATGCGAGGGTCTTGGCAAAGAGGCGTGGAGTTAAAAGATAAAGGAATCACACACTGGGTGGGAGTTGGGTCACAGCTGTCTTTGCTGATGACACTTTTGCTTTGGAGTTTCTGAAGAGAAGTGCAGAGATTGGGGATGAATTGGTAGGGTGTGCAAAAAGAAGAAAAATTAAAGGTTTGAATACAGGAAAGAGTAAGGTTATGAGGATAACAAAAAGATTAGGTGATGAAAGATTGAATATCAGATTGGAGGGAGAGAGTATGGAGGAGGTGAAGTATTCAGATATTTGGGAGTGGACGTGTCGGCGGATGGTCTATGAAGATGAGGTAATCATAGAATTGATGAGGGAAAAAAGAGTGAGTGGTGCACTTAGGAGTATGTGGAGACAGAGAACTTGTCTTGGAGGCAAAGAGGGGAATGTATGAGAGTATAGTTTTACCAACGCTCTTATATGGGTGTGAAGCATGGGTGATGAATGTTGCAGCGAGGAGAAGGCTGGAGGCAGTGGAGATGTCATGTCTGAGGGCAATGTGTGGTGTGAATATAATGCAGAGAATTCGTATTTTTGGGAAAAGTTAGGAGAGGTGCGGGATTACCAAAACTGTTGTCCAGAGGGCTGAAAGGGTTGTTTGAGGTGGTTGGGTCATTTAGAGAGAATGGAGCGAAACAGAATAACTTCAGAGTGTATCAGTCTGTAGTGGAAGGAAGGGGGGTAGGGGTCGGCCTAGAAGGGTTGGAGGGAGGGGGTAAAAGGGGGTTTTGTGTGCGAGGGGGTTGGACTTCCAGCAGGCATGCTGAGCGTGTTTGATAGGAGTGAATGGAGACAAATGGTTTTGTATACTTGACGTGCTGTTGGAGTGTGAGCAAAGTAATTTATGAAGGGATTCAGGGAAACCGGCAGCCGACTTGAGTCCTGGAGATGGGAAGTACAGTGCCTGCACTCTGAAGGAGGGGTGGTAATGTTGCAGTTTAAAAACTGTAGTGTAAAGCACCCTTCTGGCAAGACAGTGATGGAGTGAATGATGGTGAAAGTTTTTTTTTTTGGGGCCACCCTGCCTTGGTGGGAATCCGCCGGGTTTTATAATAAAAAAAAAAAATTGGGAAAAGGGGTTATAGTAAGGTATGCACCTGAAAAAGACAGAAGTGTAGAGGAGAGAGGGTTTTTGGGGGAATGTTGAGTGAATGCGGGGGGGTTTTTTAAATCAAGTGTGGAGTAATGGTGTTGAGGATTTAAAAGCTAGGTGGGAAAAAATGTTGTGGAGGAGTGTGGGTAAATTTGGGGTGCCAGGGGAAAATGTAAAGGGGAGCCTTTAATTGAGCTATGTGTAGAAGAGTTTTGGGTAATAAGTAATACTTTTTTTATGAAAAAGAGGATAAATAAATATTAAAGGGTATGATACATTTTCAAATCACATTTTATTTAAGAACATAAGAAAGAAGGACACAAAATAGCCTACTGACCCCTGCGACAGGTCCATGTCCCCCCATGGATTAGACCATAGCACGTAAGAAAATAGTTTTTTAGATTATGTATTTGGGGGGATAAAAGGTTAATGGAAGGGTCCGGGTGTACATGTTTTTTAAGAGGGGCAAAAGATATATCGGATCATTATTTATTGTAGACGTTAGAGTAAAGAGGTAGATGGGGCAAAGGGGGTGGCAACAAAATAGGGGGGAAGTGAAAGTGTATAAACTAAGGGAGGAGGGAAATTCGGGTGAGATATAAGCGCTATTGGGGAAAAAGGGGGGCTATGCAAAGATGAGTATGGGGGGGGTTGAAGAGGGTTGGGTAGTTTTAAAAAAGCAGTATTAGAATGTGGGGGGAGGTTTTTGGGGAAGGGGGTGGGGGCAGGAGGAAAGAGGAGTGATTGGTGGAATGATGAAGTAAAGGGTGTGATAAAAGAGAAAAAGTTAGCTTACGAGAGGTTTTTACAAAGAAGTGTTATAAGAAGAGCAGAGTATATGGAGAGTAAAAGAAAGGTGAAGAAAGTGGTGAGAGAGTGCAAAAGGAGAGCAGATGATAGAGTGAGAGAGGCACTGTCAAAAAATTTTAATGAAAATAAGAAAAATTTTTGGAGTGAGTTAAACAAGTTAAGAAAGCCTTGGGAACGTTTGGATTTGTCAGTTAAAAACAGAGTAGGGGAGTTAGTAGATGGGGAGAGGGAGGTATTAGGTAGATGGCGAGAATATTTTGAGAAACTTTTAAATGTTGAGGAAGAAAGGGAGGCGGTAATTTCATGCACTGGCCAGGGAGGTATACCATCTTCTAGGAGTGAAGAAGAGCAGAATGTAAGTGTGGGGGAAGTACGTGAGGCATTATGTAGAATGAAAGGGGGTAAAGCAGCTGGAACTGATGGGATCATGACAGAAATGTTAAAAGTAGGGGGGAATATAGTGTTGGAGTGGTTGGTACTTTTGTTTAATAAGTATATGAAAGAGGGGAAGGTACCTAGGGATTGGTGGAGAGCATGTATAGTCCCTTTATATAAAGGGAAGGGGGACAAAAGAGATTGTAAAAATTATAGAGGAATAAGTTTATTGAGTATACCAGGAAAAGTGTACGGTAGGGTTATTATTGAAAGAACTAGAGGAAAGACAGAATGTAGGATTGCGGATGAGCAAGGAGGTTTCAGAGTGGGTAGGGGATGTGTAGATCAAGTGTTTACATTGAAGCGTATATGTGAACAGTATTTAGAAAAAGGTAGGGAAGTTTTTTTTGCATTTATGGTTTAGAAAAGGCATATGTTTAGAGTGGATAGGGGAGCAATGTGGCAGATGTTGCAAGTATATGGAAGGTGGTAGTTACTAAATGCTGTAAAGAGTTTTATGAGGTAGTGGGCTCGGTTAGGGTGTGTAGAAGAGAGGGAGACCTACTTCCTGGTTAAAGTAGGTCTTAGAAAGTTGAAAGTGAACATAGAAAAGAGTAAGGTGATGGGGGTATCAAATGATTTAGATAAAGAAAAATTGGTTTATCAAATTGGGGAGGAGTATGGAAGAAGTGAATTGTTTTCGATACTTGGGAGTTGACTTTGTCGGCGGATGTGATTTATGAAGGATGAGGTTTAATCATAGAATTGATGAAGGAAAAAAGGTGAGTGGTGCGTTGAGGTATATGGGGAGTCAAAAAACGTTATCTATGGAGGCAAGAAGGGAATGTATAAAAGTATAGTAGTACCAACACTCTTATATGGGTGGGGAAGCTTGGGTTGTGAATGCGCAGCGAGGAGGCGGTTGGAGGCAGTGGAGATGTCCTGTCTAAGGCAAAGTGTGGGGGTTAAATTTTATGCAGAAAAATTCTGAGTGTGGAAATTAGGAAAAGGGTGTGGATTTAAAAAAAAGTATTAGTCAGAGGGCTGAAGAGGGGTTGTTTGAGGTGGTTTGGTTCATTTAGAGAGAATGGATCAAAGTAGAAATGACATGGAGGAGCATTTAAATCTGTAGGAAAAGGAAGGTGGGGTAGGGGTCATCCTCGAAAAGGTTGGAAGGAAGGGGTAAGAGAGGTTTTGTGGGCGAGGGGCTTGGACTTCCAGCAGGCGTGCATGAGCGTGTTTGATAGGAGTGAATGGAGATGAATGGTATTTGGGACTTGACGATCTATTGGAGTGTGAGCAGGGTAATATTTAGTGAAGGGATTCAGGGAAAACGGTTTATTTTTATATATCCGGGACTTGAGCCCTGGAAATGGGAAGTACAATGCCTGCACTCTAAAGGAGGGGTTTTGGGATATTAGCAGTTTGGAGGGATATGTTGTGTATCTTTATACGTATATGCTTCTAAACTGTTGTGTTCTGAGCACCTCTGCAAAAACAGTGATTATGTGTGAGTGAGGTGAAAGTGTTGAATGATGATGAAAGTATTTTCTTTTTGGGGATTTTCTTTCTTTTTGGGTCACCCTGCCTCGGTGGGAGACGGCCGACTTGTCGAAAAAAAAAAAATCCATTCACTCCCTACTCTTTCTAAACTTATTAATCTCACTCCAAAACTTTTTCTTATTTTCAACAAAATTTGTTGATAACGTCTCACCCACTCTCCTTTTACATTGCTTCACCACTCTCTTAACATCTCTTTTTCTCTTTCTCTTTTTGCAGTCTGTATGAGTTATGTATTTATTCTAAGGTTGGTTAGTTGATTCACTTCCAAATACTATATTGTAATAGTCAGCAGGTTTTCTTCTCCGTTGTGAGTTTGATGTTAAAAAGAAATGTTTACCAATATCTTTTTAAAATGCTAGGTCATTGTTTTAGAATCTATAATATCATCATCAAACTGCATTAAATTGAGGGTGTTGAAGTTTTTTGACTCTTAGGGGCCCTTTAAAAGACTGCCATAAGTTGTATAAAAAAAACATAATGAAATACAAACTTGGAGAAGGAGAACCAGTGGAACGGCTGTTTGAAGGATAAGAAAATTTTATTTAGAACCGTGTAGAAAAAATCATAAATAGTAGAAAGGAAACTCCCTATACTGTGCTTTCTTCACAGAAATGCTTCCAGGAATGCTGAACTATGTTTATTTGCTATAGGCTTGAGTCATGCTTACTTTCATCTTGATTACATATTTTTTTTTTTTTTTTTTTTTTTTTTTTTTTTTTTTTTTTTTTTTTTTTTTTTTCAACAAGTCGGCCGTCTCCCACCAAGGCAGGGTGACCCAAAAAAAAAGAAAGAAAATCCCCAAAAAGAAAATACTTTCATCATCATTCAACACTTTCACCACACTCGCACATTATCACTGTTTTTGCAGAGGTGCTCAGAATACAACAGTCTAGAAGCATACACATATAAAGATACACAACATATTATTATTATTATTAGCTATGTACTCTTGCACTTTTCCATGGTAACATACATATGTACTCCATATTATCTCTTTTTCACCTCTTACCATTTCACTTTTATACTGAATAGAAATGAGAACTCATTGTTATCAGGTTTCAAATCTCCTTTTTCTCCATTTAGTTTTGATGTGGTTCCAATTAAAAACAAGGTGCCTGAGTTTGCCCACCGTGGGGATGTGGTACGGAAGAAGGCTGACCGTAAGCAGTTAGCAGGTTGGCAGTGCCATGAATGTGAAAAATGGTATGAAGCACATCCAGACCCACAAGAAAAAAAGGTAAGTTATCCTTTGGTCAAATTATCTTACAAGTGGAAAGTAATTTGCCTCTTTTAACCCTTTGACTGTTTTTGTCGTATATATACGTCTTATGAGCCAGTGTTTTTGATGTACTATTAATATGCCAAAATTCTAGCGGCTTCAGATCAAGTGGGAGAAAGCTGGTAGGCCTACATGTGAGAGAATGGGTCTGTGTGGTCAGTGTGCTCCATATAAAAAAAATCCTGCAGCACGCAGTGCATAGGAAAAAAAATTCCGACCGTGTTTTTGGATTAAAACGTCGACTTTGAGGTGTATTTTTGTTTAGTTTTTAATGGTTGTTTTCTTGTTTTCATGATTCATTTGATAGAGTGGAAGACATACAGTGGACCCCCGCATAACGATATTAATCCGTTCCTGAGAGCTCGTTGTTATGCAAAATTATCGTTATGCGAATGAATTTTCCCCATAAGAAATAATGGGAATCAAATTAATCCGTGCAAGACACCCCAAAGTATGAAAAAAAAAAATTTTACCACATGAAATATTAATTTTAATACACACAAACTGAAAAAGACATGCACAGTTACATGACACTTACCTTTATTGAAGATCTGGTGATGATTGATGGGATGGGAGGAGGAGAGGAGTCTTAGTGTTTAGAAGGGGATCCCCTTCATTAAGACTTGAGGTGTCAAGTCCTTTCTGGGGTTACTTCCCTTCTTCTTTTAATGCCACTAGGACCAGCTGCAGAGTCACTGGACTTCTGTCGCACAACATATCTGTCCATAGAGGCCTGTACCTCCTGTTCTTTTATGACTTTCCTAAAGTGGTTCACAACATTGTCAGTGTAATAGTCACACAGCACGGCTTGCAATGCTGTGTTAGGGTGATTGTCATCAAAAAAGGATTGCACTTTAAGCCACATTCCACACATTTCCTTAATCTTTGAAGTAGGCAACTACTTCAATTTCTCTCTCCCCTCCTCCGAAGCAGTTTCCTCAGGTCTGGCCTCATGCTGATGAAGATGATCTAGCAGCTCATCAGTGGTTAGTTCTTCATTGTCCTCCTCCACCAACTCTTCCACATCATCCCCACTAACCTCCAACCCCAAGGACTTTCCCAATGCCACAATGGATTCCTCAACTGGCATAGAATTCCCAGGGTTAGCCTCAAACCCTTCAAAATCCCTTTGGTCTACACATTCTGGCCACAGTTTCTTCCAAGCAGAGTTCAAGGTCCTCTTAGTCACTCCTCCTCCAAGCCTTACCTATAAGGTTTACACAATTGAGGATATTAAAGTGCTCTCTCCAAAACTCTCTTAGAGTCAATTGAGTTTCTGAGGTCACTACAAAGCATCTTTCAAACAGAGCTTTTGTGTACAGTTTTTTGAAGTTTGCAATAACCTGCTGGTCCATGGGCTGCAGGAGAGGAGTGGTATTAGGAGGCAAAAACTTCACCTTAATGAAGCTCATGTCCCCATAAAGTCGCTCTGCCACGTCTGTAGGATGACCAGGGGCATTGTCTAACACCAGAGGCACTTAGGTCTAATTTCTTTTCAGTTAGGTAATTTTTCACATTGGGGGCAAATGCTTGGTGTAACCAGTCATGGAAAAAGTCCCTAGTGACCCATGCCTTACTGTTTGCCCTCCACAGCACACACAAATTAGCCTTGAGGATATTCTTTTGCCTGAACGCTCTGGGAGTTTCTGAGTGATACACTAATAAAGGCTTCACTTTGCAATTACCACTAGCATTGGAACACATCAATAGAGTAAGCCTGTCTTTCATAGGCTTATGTCCTGGAAGTGCCTTTTCCTCCTGAGTAGTGTAGGTCCTGCTTGGCATTTTCTTCCAAAACAGGCCTGTTTCATCACAATTAAACACTTGTTCAGGTTTCAGTCCTTCACTGTCTATGTGCTCCTTGAATTCCTGCACATATTTTTCAGCTGCTTTGTGGTCCGAACTGGCAGCTTCACCATGCCTTATCACACTATGTATGCCACTACACTTCTTAAATCTCTCAAACCAACCTTTGCTGGCCTTAAATTCACTCACATCATCACTAGTTGCAGGCATTTTTTTAATTAAATCCTCATGCAACTTCCTAGCCTTTTCACTTATGATCACTTGAGAGATGCTATCTCCTGCTATCTGTTTTTCATTTATCCACACCAATAAGAGTCTCTCAACATCTTCCATTACTTGCGATCTCTGTTTCGAAAACACAGTTGAACCTTTGGCAAGAACAGCTTCCTTGATTGCCGTTTTCTTGGACACAATAGTAGCGATGGTTGATTGGGGTTTACTATACAACCTGGCCAGCTCGGAGACACGCACTCCACTTTCATACTTAGCAATGATCTCTTTCTTCATCTCTATAGTAATTCTCACCCTTATTCCTGTAGGGTTGGCACTAGAAGCTTTCTTGGGGCCCATGGTCACTTATTTTGCAGATAAAATCACCAAAAACACTGTAATAATACAAAATGTTCCGATTGTATGCTTGGATGTTACCGCGAAGGCTGGCTGGTAAACAATGCCACCGGTGGAACATGTGAGGCTGGCTCAGGCCGCACATTAGACGCGTCTTGGACGAATAGCGTTGAGCGGGTTTTTTAGTGGTATGCAAGGCAAAATCTTAGCGATAAAATGTATCGGTATGCGGATTTAACATTATGTGATGCCAACGGTATGCGGGGGTCCACTGTATTACAGAAATAGAGATGATTTTGATTGGTTTCATGATGAAAAGGACCTCGAAATTGAGCTCAAAGCAACAGAAATATTCTATTTTTGCCGATGTTCAAGAGTAAACAAATGAAGTCACCATCCAATACGTGTCCAACTGGCCAGTCTAATATGCAGTCACAAATGGGCTGACATTATTTATACAATTATTATAATAATGAAGTAGTCTGCATAACAGTAAATCTATTTTTTGTGAGAAGAAAAATTCAAAATAGAAAGCAAGAGTAATATAAGAGGTGCCTGGAGACATGACTAATGAACAAAGAAAATGTTATTTTAGTGCCAGGAATGTCTGCATTGTTTATTCTGGATCCTATTTTGAAATTGGCATCTTTTTTAATTTGCATGAAATTGGCCAAATTGCCAATATCTGACCACTTTATTGGGTAGTTGAGATCGGTAAATGGGCAGTTTTCTTGTACTCAATCGATAGAACAAATGGAGTTCTAAAGAAATAGCTACGAATTTGGTCGACTGGAACAATGGAATTGGCCGAAAATAGGGCTCAAAGTGGGCACAATCGCCGATGCGTATGTATCGCTGAGATCACTGACTTCACGAGAGCGTAATTCCTTAAGTTTTCCATCAAATTTTGTACTTTTGGTGTCATTACCACCGGGAAAAGATTTCCTATCATTTCATAAGAAATTTTTTTTTTTTTTTTTTTAATATTTTGCGACACAGAGACACTTCAGGATTTGGGGGTCTGCCAAAGGGTTAATGTTATCATGGAGCCTGGATAACTTAGAAGTTATGAGATGTACATTAAAGTACAATGAGTGTGATAAAGAGAGCTCATTCAACATTGTGAATCTGATCCAGAAAAAAAGTCCTTTCAGTGGGGTACTTCTGAAAGAAAGAGACCCATTGTTTTCACTGTTGAACCGCAGCCAAAAAATGTACATTAGATTCTACTTTACAAAAGAGGCAACACTACACGAGATAGGTCAGAATAATGCAAATCAAGGATTCAGAGGAAAATGTGAAGTTTTTATGCTTGGCACACAGTAAGTGGTGTTGGGTATGCTAAATCAGTTTTTTTAACACTGGCAGTTTCCTACGAAGGCAGGGTGACCCAAAAAAAGAAACACTTTCACCATCATTCGTATTATCACTGTCTTTGCAGGGGCACACAGATACGACAGTACATGGAACACACACAGTTTGTAGACATTAGTCCAGAGATTTAGAGCAAAATATACTTGTGGGATGTCCTAAATTGTCTGATATATATCATGTACTAAGACAGACTGAGTAAGTGAAACAATGTAAATTTAATCAAAGGGTTCCTCAGATTTGCAAATCCATACAAAATTCCTTATGATTTTAAAATTACCTGTTATAGAGGTAAGGTTACCCAAAAAATAAATACTGTCACCATCATTCACTCCCTCACTGTCTTACCAGAGGCATGCCAGTAATACAGTTCAGATGACTCTCCAAATTGCAGATATCCACACCCCTCCTTAAGAGTGCAAACACAATACTTCCCACCTCCAGGACTCGAGTCTGGTTAACCGGTTTCCCTGAATCCCTTCACAGATTGCTACCTTGCTGATACACCAACAACTCGTCAAGTCTCAAAAACCATTTCAGTCTACTTGTATCTAACGCTCACACATGCCTGTTGACTGTCCAAGCCCCTCATACACAAAACCTCCTTTACCCCCCTCCCTCCAACCTTTCCTAGGGCAGCCCCCACCCTGTCTTCCCTCCACTACAGATTTATACATCCTTCAATCCTCTCTAAATGTCCAAACCACCTCAACAGTCCCTCCTTAGCCCTCTGGATAAAGCTTTCAGTTACTCTGCACTTCCTAATCATGCTACGAATTCTTTGCATAATTACATCACACACTGCCCTCAGACACAACATCTCCACTGCCTCCAACCTCCTCCTCACTGCAACATTCTATAACCCATGCTTCACACTCATATAAGAGTGTTGGTACCACTGTACTCTCATGCATTCCTCTTTTTGCCTCTATGGACAATGTCTCCACAGATGCCTCAATACACCATCCACCTTTTCCCCTTCATCAATTCTATATAGATGAATGATTCAGAGAACTGACAAGTTGATAAGTTAGATACTTGCAACACTTGGGTATCTTTATTGAGGAAATGTTTTGCCACACAGTGGTTTCATAAGTCCATACAAAGGAGACTGGTGAAGAACAGGAGTTGGAGGTAATCAGTCGATGTAATCAGTCCATCAATCTTGAAAAGAACACAGCATATCTACATTCCTTTCAGACATAGCAACATCTTGGGATCTTAATACAGGGAATTCTTCACCTGCCTAACCTTTAGGCATGACCTATTTCCACATTTGATTTGTCAAGTGTGATACTACCTACAACTGCTTCACCTAACCTGTCTACAGTATATAAGCCACTTCTTCGCACATATGCTGTGTTCTTTTCAAGATTGATGGACTGATTACGTCGACTCAAGGCTGAGGGATTGAGCACCTCAAGCTCCTCCTGTTCTTTATAATTCTTCTTCGTATGGACTGATGAAGCCACTGTGTGGTAAAACTTTTCCTCAGTAAAGATGCCCAAGTGTTTCACATGTGTCTAACTCATTCACCTCATCTTTCATATACCCATCTACCACCAAGTTCACTCTCAAATATCTGAACACATTCACTTCCTCCATACTCCCTCCTTCCAATATGACATCCAACCTTTCATTACCTAACTGGTTTGATACCCTCATCACCTTGCTTTTTCCTATGTTCAATTTTAATTTCCTTCTTTTACATAACTATTGGATTACCTTGGGTTAAATCTACATAGTGTGCTCTTTGGCTGATTCCACTATATCATAAAATTGTAATGAATTCAGAATGAATATGGCATCTTTCTGTCAGTGCTACATCCTGTTTGCCACTAGGGAAGCTGGTGGTGAAACAATTGATTGGTATTGGTTGCAGTGTTTATTTATGCTAATTAAGCAATGTTACCTTATGATTGGTTTTATATTTTTTCAAAGGTATAATGAGGTTGTAGGAAACCTAAGCAGTTGTGCTGAGATCAAGAAATATTGGCAGGTAGTGTACTAGTCTGCCAGACACAATCCTCACCTGCATACCAGTGCATTGGACACGTTAAGGGAAGAACACACAAACCATCTCTCACCAAGGTAGGTGACCTGAAAAACAAGGCAAAACATTTGCCAGAAGTGTGCAGGCACCACAATTTAAATAACCCTCCAAACAGTGATGTCTGTACACTTCTGGGAAGACAGCTTTTGAATGAAGGATGGTGTGTTTCCTTATTTTTTGGGGGATCACCCTACCTCGGTGAGAGATGGCAAATATATTTAAGGCAAAAAGGGTGTGATAAAAGAGAAAAAGGTCACATATGAGAGATATTTACAGAGCAGAAGTGATATAAGAAGGGTGGAGTATATGGAGAGGTAAAGAGAATGGTGAGGGACTGCAAAAGTAGAGTAAATGATAGAGTGAGTGAGGCGCTGTTAACAAATTTTGCTGAGAATAAGAAAAAATTTTGGATTGAGAGAAATAGGTTAAGAATGCATAGGGAACAAATGGATTTGACAGTTAAAATCAGAATAGGGAAGTTTGCAGATGGGGAATTGGAGGTATTGGGCAGATGACAAGAATATTTTGAGGAACTGTTAAATGTTGATGAAGATAGGGAGGCAGTAATTTCATGCACTAGCCAGGGAGGTATAACATCTTTTAGGAGTGGAGAAGAGCCAGATGTGAGTGTGGGGAAGGTGCACGAGGCATTAGGTAGAATGAAAGAGGGTAAAACAGTTGGAACTGACGGGATCATGACAGAAATGTTAAAACCGGGGGATGTAATTTTGGAGTGGTTGGTACTTTTGTTCAGTAAATGTATGAAAGAGGGGAAGGTACCTAGGGATTGGTAGTGTGTGTATAATTCCTTTATATAAGGGAAAGGGGGACAAAAGAGATTGTAAAAATTATAGAGGAATAAGTTTACAGAGTATACCAGGTAAAGTGTATGATAGGGTTATTACTGAAAGAATCAGAGGTAAGACAGAGAGCAGGATTGAAGATGAACAAGGAGCCTTTAGAATGGGTAAGGAATATGTAGATCAAGTGTTTACATTGAAGCATAAATGTGAACAGTATTTAGATAAAGGTAGGAAGTTTTCATTGCATTTATGGATTGATAGAGTGGATAGGGGAGCAATATGGCAGATGTTGCAAGTGTATGGAATAGGTATTAAGTTACTAAATGCTGTAATGAGTTTTCATGAGTATAGTGAGGCTCAGGTTAGGGTGTGTAGGAGAGGGGGAGATTACTTTTCAGCAAAATTAGGCCTTAGACAGGGATGTGCAGTGTCTGCAATGGAAGACACTGTCATGCAGATTCGGGTGTCATCTACAAAGGAAGACACGGTGCTGACATCCTTGTCTATGTCAGATATGAGGATGAGAAACAAGATGGGAGCGAGTACTGTGCCTTGTGGAGCAGAGCTTTACACCGTAGCCACCTCAGACTTTACTCTGTTGACTACTACTCTTTGTGTTCTGTTTGTGAGGAAATTATAGATCCATCTACCAACTTTTCCTGTTATTCCTTTGTCACGCATTTTTTGCGCTATTACGCCATGGTCACACTTGTCGAAGGCTTTTGCAAAGTCTGTATATATTACATCTTCATTCTTTTTGTCTTCTAGTGCATCTAGGACCTGGTTGTAGTGATCCAGTAGCTGAGATAGACAGGAGCGACCTGCTCTAAACCCATGTTGCCCTGGGTTGTGTAATTGATGGGTATCTAGATGGGTGGTGAACTTGCTTCTTAGGACCATTTCAAAGATTTTTATGATATGGGATGTTAGTGCTGTCGGTCTGTAGTTCTTTGCTATTGCTTTACTCCCCCCTTTGTGGAGTGGGGCTGTGTCTGTTGTTTTTAGTAACTGTGGGACGACCCCCATGTCCATGCTCCCTCTCCATAGGATGGCAAAAGCTTGTGATAGGGGCTTCTTGCAGTTCTTGATGAACACGGAGTTCCGTGAGTCTGGCCCTGTTGCAGAGTGCATGGGCATGTCACTTATTGCCTGTTCGAAGTCATTTGGTGTCAGATAGGCTTGTGTTAACCAAATTCTCTGGCTCTCTCATAAAAAATTCATTTTGATCTTCGACTCTCAGTCTGGTTAGCGGCTTGCTAAAAACTGAGTCCTATTGGGACTTGAGTAGCTCACTCATTTCCTTGCTGTCATCTGTGTATGGCTCATCTTGTTTAAGTAGCTGCTCAATACTGGATGTTGTTCTCGACTTTGATTTGGCATATGAAAAGAAATACTTTGGATTTCTTTCGATTTCATTTATGGCTTTTAGTTCTTCCCGCGATTCCTGACTCCTATAAGAATCCTTTAGTTTAAGTTCGATGTTTGCTATTTCTCTAACCAGTGACTCCCTACGCATTTCAGAAATATTGGCCTCTTTTAGCCGCTCTGTTATTCTTTTCCGTCGCCTGTAAAGGGAGCGCCTGTCTCTTTCTATTTTACATCTACTCCTCCTTTTTCTTAAAGGAATAAGCCTTGAGCATACATCGAGTGCCACTGAGTTAATCTGCTCTAGGCATAAGTTGGGGTCTGTGTTGCTTAGTCTATCTTCCCAGCTTATATCGTTTAGGACTTGATTTACTTGGTCCCACTTTATGTTCTTGTTATTGAAGTTGAATTTGGTGAAGGCTCCCTCGTGACTAATCTCATTTTGTCGGTCTGGGGCTCCGCGCATACATGTCTGAACCTCGATTATGTTGTGATCTGAGTATACGTATTGTTTTTGATATGGTGACATTTCGTATCAGATCATTGTTAGTGAAGATGAGGTCTAGTGTATTCTCCAGTCTAGTAGGCTCTATTATTTGTTGGTTTAAGTTGAATTTTGTGCCGAGATTTAAAAGCTCGTGTGTGTGTGTGTGTGTGTGTGTGTGTTGTGTGTGTGTGTGTGAGTTTTCGTCAGAGTTGCCTCCTGGTGTTATCACTGCAACAACATTATTTGCTATATTCCTCCATTTTAGGTGCCTCAAGTTGAAATCCCCCAGGAGCAAGATGTTGGGGTCAGGAGCTGGCAGATTTTCCAGACAGTGGTCAATTTTTGACAGCTGTTCCTGGAATTGCTGGGATGTTGCATCCGGAGGCTTATAGACTACCACAATGACTAGGTTTTGGTTCTCGATCTTTACTGCTAAAACTTCCACTACATCATTTGAGGCATTAAGCAGTTCTGTGCAAACAAGTGACTCTGCGATATACAGGCCAACCCCCCCCTTTTGCCTGTTCACTCTGTCACATCTGTATAGGTTGTAACCTGGGATCCATATTTCGTTGTCAAAGTGATCCTTTATGTGGGTCTCTGTGAAGGCCGCGAACATTGCATTTGCCTCTGCAAGCAGTCCACGGATGAAAGGTATTTTGTTGTTCGTTGCTAGCTTTAGACCCTGTATATTTGCAAAGAAGAATGTCATCAGACTGGTGGTACTGGGGGGGGGGGGGCTTTTTTTTCTGGCACTAGTATCTGTATCTGTTGGTTTTGAGTGGAGGCCATCGACTGTGGTTCCACTCCAGAAATGACTGGATTTGGCATACTATTTCCGCCATTTCCTGCCAGTTTTTTCCTTCCTGGCACTAAAAAACCTCTCCCTCTTGAGTGGCTGTGGCTACCCAGGTTTTCCCATGGCCTGGATGTTTTGTATCTTTTTGTCCCCTTTAGATGGTGTGCCTGGCAATTTAAGTTATAGCACAGTCTTTCCTGTACTGAAGAGGGACACATTTCAGAGTGAAAAAGCTTACAGGAAGGGAGTTTGCATTTTCCTGTTGTCGTATGGGCGCGGCATTTTCTAGGGTGGTCATAGTTGCACGTCCCATCTGTTTTTCCAGATTTCCCATGCCTGCAGATACCAAGTGCATAGTATGTGCACAGGCTTGGTTTCCGTTTGCCTTGGGTAACTGTAACTGTATTCCCTGTTGGTGCATGTTTACCTGTCTCATTCCTATCCTCACTAGTACTAACAATGGAGCTCTCACCAGTTGTTTCTGGTAATATATCCTCACTATTGCTAGTGGTGCTCCCTTGTTTGCTATCTCCTGTGGTATTACTAGTTTGTAATATTGGTTTTTATCTTGTCCTTGACTACACTTGTTTCCCCACTACAGCTCCTGTCCCCCTCGAGGTCTTTATAGATTCCCCTGCTAAATTTACGACTACCTGGACGCACCTCCACCCCCCATTCTGTCTCCGGACAGCACCCCACCCTCACTGTTACTGTCTCCCGGCAGCCCCTCCAGTTTCACCATAACGTCTCCCGGAAGCACCTCCCTTCACCTTACTGCTACCAGGGCACCCCTCCCCTTACAGTTTTGCCACATACCCAGCACCAAGGGTGTACCCCCCAACTTTTTTATTTTTCCTTTAAAAAAAATCTGGGACACTTAGTCCTTGTGGAGCCCAGTTCAATTGACACCAGCTAGGCATATCCCGGGAAAAACACCAGGGATTCATAATGCCTTGTGCATTAACACACTTTTAAGAGGAAAGTAAAATAGGTTAGATAAAATACATAGTGAGGGGGGGTGGGGTGAGTTGGATGACTACTTTTGCCTGGGGTTGATTCAGCTCCTTCCTTCAATGGATGTGCCCTGACTGGGTTTGGGGTCTTTGGTTTCTAACCAGGGGGGAGGGAAGGTTGGGGGGTGTTTGGACCCCCTTTGCAGGGGCCCAGTAGGCCGTTGAGTGCCCTTCTTTTTATGTTCTTATGTATTCGGAGGCTGGCGGGATGGTTTGGTATCCTCGTCTATATCTCTCTCTATAATTATCTTTTTCTAATCTCTATCTATATCTCTACTTTTTCTATCTATATTTCTACTATTCTCTGTCCAATGTAACATAATACAGTTTTTAGTGAAAATTTCCCCTAGGAAAACCCCAAAAATTCCAGGCAAAGATAGACAGATAGATAGACGACAGCAGATGAAGGGGACAAAATTTTGGGTGTGTTCTTAAACAAAAAAAGCCGGGGCTCCCGAGTGCCCTTTTATCAAATTACAGTTGTATAACCCCCTTCTTAAAGGATTTTGATATATGTATACTCCAAGCAACAGAAAGAAGATAAGCAGAGACA